TTCCCCTTACACAATCCGGGTAATAGACCATATCTAAATGATAATTTCACGTCAAGGGGAAAGAACAGAGTGATGAGGAGGTAACCTGTAAAACTAGAACGAAATCAATAAAAAAGACAAAATACCGTTCCCGCACGTGACCTTTGACCACCGTATCACATCACTGACTCCTGAGAATGACTAATGAAGAATTGAGCCTTTTACATTCAACTTGTTCTGGAGCAAAAAGGTCACGGCAGGAAAGAAGAATGTCAATTGAAGGATATTATGTGATTTAGCACCAATTTCCCAAAACAAGAATCAAGAGAAGTATATTGAGACAGTGAAGAGAATTGATGATTTTATCATGGGAGTGAAAGGGTTTACTAAATAATGAACTCCAAACTCATGCTCTCTCCTTTTCTTAGTGTGGAACAAAAATGTTTAAGCGTAAACATTCCAGTTTCTGCCTTTGAACAGGATCGGCTCAGCTTCCGTTACAACAATGACGGTAGGTTGGCGGCTAGCAAATATTTCAGGAAAACAAAGCAGTCACATTCCTCAAACAGGAAACAGAAGACTTGTTTGAAGTGAGAATATCTGTTGTGCGTGTATCTGGCGCGCTGAAGTAAGTGATATTAAGGAAAAGTTCAAGCGAATATCCAATCATCGTTATGTCTTAGACAGGAACTTTCTGTTTTAAAATGGAATGATTTTCCTGTTGTACGGAGACGAACTGACTCTAATCTGTGTTATATGGAAAGGAATAGGCTGTCTACGTTCAAAGGGTTTGTTTTCTGGAGCATTGAAGATCTAACAAGTTTATAATCAACAGCATTCAATATGTAGTAAAACTAAAGAAAGCGTGACCCTAGCGCTTTGAAACGTGACATGTAATCCTAAGTTTAAGGATAGATCAATTACTATATTATTGTAAAGCAGAAATATGATCCTTGTGATATGCAAAAATGTGAAAAGTGTAATCTTAACAGAGCAGGATTTACGTAGCTAAAAGGGGTTGAACAAAACATTATGCTCACCGTCGTTCGAATTAAGGTATTTACTTGAAAGGAAACCACGCCACTTACCTCGCATATTTAATCACGTAAAAACTAGCCACCAATATGCATATAAGCAATTTGATTGAGCAATAAAGATAGCTGTAATCAGGACTAGAGTGTGTGCGAGTCTCTCTTCGTTGAGGACCCAAAAACTGGCCAAGTCTAGAGTAAAACAAGCAGTTGGCACTTATCTGTTGGCCACGAAACCTTCCCTGTTGTAACAAATATAACGCGGCCATGCAGGGTGTCTCTTTATTGGCTCTTATCGTCGTTAGTTCCTTTACGTATTTATTGATAAATGTCAACGAACTTCAAAGGAATGTTTCTTCATCACAATGTAAGGTAAGCACTGGTTGTTAACTTTGTCAACCCAGTCATTGTTCAATTATTTTGACAGTTCTACTTGGCAATGACCAGCACCGTATTTCACAGTTGAATAGCACGAATGAAGTGTATCAGAGGAAAGCACAAAGAAAATTTTCAACCAATAACGCAATTTAACGCATCAAAATACGGGAAAAAAGACAATATACGGCAAAGTTAACGATTGCCATAAACTTCAGGCATGAGCAGATTCCACCGATGCCTAGAGCAGACTTCGAGTATTTTTCAGTTTTTGTTTCGTTCTTACGCTTAATGAAAGCCACATCTCGTTTCCTTTTAGGACAAAAAGCTAGACTAGATTATGATCCAACATGATAATTTAAATGTTTCCTTGATAAAGTTTTTCTATCATCTCACGTGATAGCTCTTTGATCGAAATGTTACTCACGCGCTAGGTAAATAAATATCAAAAGTCAAAATGCCAGGCCGATCATCATCTGTTCGTCAAAGAAAAAAAAAGGAAGTTTAAGGGAGAAACGAACTCAATCTGTGGCTCACAAAAATATTTTTCTATCCTCTCTGATGACAGTCGTGCTCATCATGTGGGATGCCAGGACTGCCGGGAATGCAGGGAATGCCTGGATCCAACGGAATACCAGGGACCCCAGGGGTACCAGGCTCATCAGGTCCTTCGGGTCCGCCGGGAAGAAGCGGCGACACGGGGGAAAAAGGTCGGAAAGGAGATGCAGGATCCCCAGGACAACCTGGCTCAAGAGGCCTCTGGGGGCACAAAGGGCTGACTGGAGAAAATTAAAGGGGAAATTGGTAGCATGGGGGAAAAGGGCAGCGAAGGAATCCCAGGGGAAATTGGTCCGAGAGGCTACAAAGGCTCTAAAGGAGAAATAGGAAGCAAAGGCGTGAATGGTGCGGGTATCCCTGGGATGACTGGCCCCAGGGGTCCCAGTGGATACAAAGGAGAGAGAGGGATGAGTGGACTAAAGGGACAGAAAGGAAATACAGCGAATATTGACCCGAGACAGCTGGCCAATTGGAAACAGTGTGCATGGAGTTCAGGCACGGGTACGGGCGTGGACAGCGGTAAAATAAAGGTGAGTAACCCTTATAATTGCAGATAACTTGAACTCATTGCATGAAAGTAGGTAGGTAGGTATACTTCATTTAAATCAAAGAAACACGCTAGCCCCAACAACACTTAGCTAGTTTCCATGGAGGGCGTGTTTGTACAAACATAAAAAGAAACTAGAACTAATAATACAAGATTAATGATGTCATAGGTCTAAAATCATAAAGATTCAACTATTATGAACAAAGTGCACATTATAAACTAAGTAGATGATGAATAATATGGTAAGTCTAAAACTACAGAAATTCAACCATAACAAACTAAGTGCATATAGTAAACTAAGTAAAAGATCAACACATGTGGTATGACATGACCCAATAACGTTTTGATACAGTTATTGAATGAATATATCGATTCCGTTAGTTTTGCTTTATTTGGGAATTGGATCCAAAGCATTGTGCCGCTATTTTAAAACTTCTTTTTAGAAACACTCTCTTGGGTTTAGGAAGTTTCAGATCTGTAGCACTATTTCTGAGGTGGTAATCAGTATGATCTACATTCCTTCTAACACAAGTGTTCCCATGGCTGGGCGCGGTGTCGTCACTTAGTTTTTTTATACATCAATGTTGACTTGGCATGAAGCCGCCTCGTATCAAGTGCGTCCCAAGAGAGGGTCTGGATTTTATCAGCGGAACGAATATCATAATTGGCACCTGTAAGAACCCTAAGAGCTCGAGATTGAAATCTTTGTAACTTTTCTTTTAATTTTCCGCAGTTGTCCCAGAGAGGGGATCAATATTCAAAGTAAGGCTGTACCAGGCTTTTATAAACCTTTTCAAGCGTATCTACAGGAACAAAGGGCTTTAAAATTCGTCTCATCGCTCCAATATACCCACACTGTCCTTCTTTCAAATCATGTCAATATGACTATCCCAACTAAGTTTTTTTTATCTATCTCAACTCCCAAGCATATATGTGTGTCAGTTCCTGATACGAGCATGTTGTTTACCACAACGGGTTGTTCGATATTTTTATTGTTTAAACTATACGAGGAGCCAATAAACATCAATTTAGACTTAGAGGGGTGGATTTGAAGTTTGTTTTCTATAAGCCATAGCGCAATCAGAATTTAATTTGATGACAACTTCGTTAGCATCGTAAGAGGGTGAGAAGATCTGAGTATCATCCGTATACCTGCATGGAGTGGCTGATCTTAAACACTCAGGCAGGTCATTAATATATAATAAGAACAACAATCGACCCAAGATTGAGCCCTGAGGGACGCCATAGGTAATTGTTTTCTTGGATGATAGTTGTTCATTAATACTGCATCGCATGGAATTCACCAACGAATACAGACAGCGGTAAAATAAAAGTGAATAGCCTCTATACCTAAGTTCGCAAACATTGGAGCTACTTAGATGCGATTTAGCGGTTACAAAACTTCAGTGCATGAGTGAGTTGGGATTGAACCTATTGAGAAGCGTTTTAGTTAGTTGCCCACCAGAAGACACTTGAACTTTAACTTAATCAACAAACTGACACCTGGACTGACACCTACACCACAAAAAGAAGCGCATCGATCTAACTAAAAATGACTTTGAGCTTGTAGCATCATTTTCTTTAGATTATTCCTTTTTCCTCCTCCACCATCCGGAATTTTTACCTGGTTTAAAGTCACAAATTTTCGTCGTTATAGTTAGCATGTTAGTAAGATGTAGTAGTTCGTCCTCGTGCTATTGATCACCCACCGACATTTTTTACATAACTTTACTGGAGATTAAGCAATTTCCACAAGTTTTATCAATGAAATTAATCAGTATCAGCCGTAAACATCTGCTATTCTTAGGCTTCGTATAAAGTAACCCAACATAATCGAAACCAAATCATTTTTAGGTACGCTGACCCATCATGATCTTTACTTAATGAATCAGTCAGTACAGACTGTACATACTGTAGTTGAAAGGAACTCCTTGTCTAGCCGCTGGGCAGAGAAGTCATGTCCAAAGGGGCGTCTCTACAACGTTATAAGACAGCTATTCCAACCACGACTTGAACCCCCAATGGCCACAGAACAAAATTGTACGTTTTCTTCACAAAAACGTTTTGTTTTTTTTAACGAGTCAGTGTGTCCAGTACCTGACTAAGTTCTACTCGTACTACTTTTTAACTGGCCACATCGATGTTGTAGGAGCTGGTAATCGTGAGAAATTCAATTCAAAGCTATTTATATATTACACACTTTTCTACAAAAGAACATGTAGTTTTGGTGTTGAGGCTGGAAGCTCTTAGTCTGAAGACAATCTTACACGTTCCTAAAGTTGAGTCGTAACTTATCAATTCGGACATGACTAGACTATGTTGGACTTTTAGATCACAGTTTTACATTTCTCTTACCTTCAATTTTACTTCTTACCAAAATAAGAAAAAAAGAGCCGTTCTTGACTGACTTTCATCCTGGATATCGTCTTAGCGTGTTCTTATAAAAAAGGTTATAAAAAAGTCTAACAATTAGTCTTTCATAATAACAGGCTTCATAAATTATTTCGCCTCCGCTTTCTTTTATCAGTGCTCATAACATTTTTGACGGGTTACTTTTTTCAGTGGGTTTCGTGATTTTGTTTTCAGGAATGCTCTTTTAACAAACTACACCAAAATACGGCCCTTAAAGTCTCATACCAAGGAAACCTTCGTCTGCACAATTCCAATCGCAAATGCAACAGATGGTATTTCAAGTTCAACGGCAATGAATGCAGCGGACCTTTGCCAGTTGATTCAGTCCTCTACACTTATGATAGCTCAACGCCCATCATTCTCCGTTCTCATTTCTTTGAAGGTTTCTGTGAGAATCTCCCACAGGGCACAGTTCGGGTTGAACTGTGGGTAGGCAGTTGCCCTGGAGAAGAACTGGCTAACGCTTACACAGGATGGAATTCAGTGTCCCGGATCATGATTGAAGAAGTACCACCATCCCAGTAGTCCCGTTATCATCAGAATTGAATAGACAACGGTTTAGGGGAAAGATGTTTGTACTCGAACTCAAAAGTAAAGTAAAATTTAAGTTGAATGTGATGGATAAATATGTGTAGAGATTCGACACTGTGATGTGGCAAAATTGCATTTCATTCAAATAAAATATGGAAAGTATTTCAATTTATTTGTCATGATGTTTCCTTTATTCATGCGATTTCTGATAGAAATGGCGTTACATCAGTAATTAGTAGTAGTAGTAGGGTATTTATATAGCGCTATTTCCATCACTATCCAATAGCGCTGTACACTAATTTTATAAATCGGACCGATAAGATTATAAAAACCATAAAAATCTCTTAAAACATGAGTAGAAGAAACTAGCTAACAAGGTAGTCTGTAATAACGAGAGTAAAAACTTTAAAATTATATTGAAATTAACTAATTTCCTAGCCAATTAACTAGCTCACCAACTAATCAACTAATTAACTAACAAACTCTCTAGCGGCCTAACTTACTACTTAAAGAATGAAATAACTCACTACGCTGTAGTCTAATTATAACATTTATAAAAAGGGTATGTCTTTATACAGGTCTTAAAATGTGATAGCAAGCCGCTCACTCTTATGTTGTTTGGAAGAGAATTCCATAGAGTCGGTGCTACAAAAGAGAAACACCTATGACCATAACTTGTTAGCTTAACAGATGGTACTTTAAGTAAGTTTTTAGAGAAGGACCTCAGATTTCTGGTTGTTACATAAGGCTACATAATTCATGGAACTCTTCAGAAACTGCTTGAAGCCTAAGGTACCAGCCAATTTTTTATTACGGAGGGGAGGGGTAGGGAAGTTGGGGTATGTTGGGAGTAAGGTTACATAATTTTCAGGGGAAAAGCAGGAGGTTGGAGGATTTCGGTTGTGTCACGATGAAAATGATTAGTGCTGCAATCTATTTCGTGGTGGTAATTCTAAATTTGAGCTTGTTGGTGATCTTTTGCTTGATTTTAAAAATGTTTACCGGAGTCTGGGGAAAGTTCAAATATTCCTCAACAATCCGAGGTTTAAAGGAGCTGGTCATTATTCGTCCCGTGAGGGATCTCGATTTCAATTTTCTCTGGCTTTTCTATCCAGTCATTTGAGTCTACTAACCATGCACTGACTTATCTCGTTATTTATCGATTATTCGGTAGGGGTTCGCATTGATAGCATCAATATTATCCTTTTACTATCAATCTATAACAAATAACACACACAAAGAACTGTGAACATAACTTAAAGAGGATCAACTAGATGCGCAAATGACGCAAAAAAGTCTGACATTTTGGTGTCGGTGAAGTATGATAACATCCGTCAGCCATAAAACACACTCCTTTGCAATAAATCTACCCCCACTCCTCTCCCCTGAAACATTTCTTTGCAATTAATCTACCCCATCCCTCTCCCCTGACACCACTCAGGTGATGGTGCATAAGATAAATATGCTTTCAAAGCAAAACGACATGAAATTACAGAAAATATCCCATGTGACCTTTTTCCACCAAGATATATCAAATTTACATAAGGTCGTAGTAGTAGCAAGCATGATAAATGTTGTAAGAAATAGACAACTTCTTTCGAGAGACATGTTTCGGCATGCTTATGCCATCTTCAATCAATGAGTAACTGAACGTGAGTAATTATATAACAGACAGGTAGATGAATAAAATATTTACAGCATGATGTAATACAAAAGCGGGTACTAATTATAAAGTGACACCAAAC